CATTGGCTCGTAGTAGAGCTCGATCAGTTCGGGTGATCCGAACTAAAGCCATCAGCTCTGAATCATCCGAGCTGAAATGACGACCGCCCACCTTCCCATGCCATAAACATGTGTTTGGCCATCCGTCCACCTAACGACTGAATTCTTTCAGTTCACGTTCAGACGAAAAATGAGTGATGCAAATAGTGTACAAAAAAACAAAGAGCAGAGAACATTTCCATAAGTTACTCCTGAATAACTTACCGAACTAGGGACGGAACAATATTAGTTTTCGTAATGCTTGGGACAAAATCGGAGCAAAACTGCACAATATCGGGGCCCGAAAAGGAGAGGATCGATTAACAGCCGATTATGGCGTGGAAAACAAGAGAAGACAACAAAGGAATCAGAGGATCACACGAAAAGACAACAAAACACAAGACTACAAACACTTCTCCAACCATTTCATTTTTCAGGAAATTGCGTCAAAAATGTGCTCTTGTTTTATCCAGGCATTTGCTAGGCGAAATCCTTGACAGTGCTCACCATCGACTTCGCAAACATGGTCGCTATCAAAGGTGCCCACGATTCAGCAAAAGTGTGGCGCTGGCCGGCATCGCATCGAAGCATATCCGTATCCGTTCATTTCCAATCGTCACCCGTTACGACGGCTCAAGTGGATCCTTCAAGAGCACAATTGTTTATCATGTCTAGGAAGCGATCAGCATCCCAATCATACCTATCTTCGATAGTCCAGAGACAGGGCGTTAAAAGTAAAGGTTGTTTGAGCATCTGACCTCATAGAAAGTGAAGGAATGACGTGGAACAGGTATAAAAAGCAAAGGAAACTGCTAACAACCGGATGAAAACGCTGCAATTGTTTAAAGAAGATCAGAGAAGAGAAAATGACGTAAGACAGATATAAAAAGCAAAGAAACTTGCTAATAACCGGATAAAAATGCTGCAATGAGATTTGAAATCTTTCATTCAGCGGCTTTTCAAAGCGCAGGTTCTCCCTCCAGGACCAGCAATTCGCAACACGGGAAAAGCGAAGAAGAGCCAATTTCTTTTTGTGATTGTTTCAAAAAAATATGTTTCGGAAGGAGTGGTTATCAAGAAGAAGATAAACAAGAAAGAAATTAGTTATGAAAACGCAAAGTTTCTTTTTTACTAAGTCGAAAAGAACGTCGAAGCCAAATTTAATTTTTTATGCGTCCTTTAAATTTTTACTCCGCATTGACATTCCTGTTTCCTGGGACGTTGTTTCGATTTTTGCGCTTATTGTTTTGAGCAAAAATCACTGGAAAAAAAGTAGCTGCGAAAGGATAAAATAAGGAAAAACGCACTTTTTACGAATTCTCGCAAAAAATTCCACCGTAATCGGAGAGATAAGGGCTGAGTGGTTTTCTGCATTATAAACAGAAGCAAAGTCTATAGAATGCACGAAAAAACCGTGTGAAAAGAGTTGAACTAGGATGAAACGAGAGATTTTCGAAAACAAGGTTTTTGCCAGATTTCTCGATCAAATCAAAAAAATATGGTTTGGGACGTCGTCAGGAAAACAGAGATCAAGAGCTTTAAAATGATATATAGCTTAAAAAATTGGGTTCGAAACAGCGAAGAAAGGGGTATCAGAGCCAAGTGCCCCGCGTCCCGCGTCCGGGGTAGCGAGGTAGCGCGCAGCGCGCGGAGACAGACCAGAGCCGACGGGGCATTTGGCTCTGGTCGTAGATCTACGCGGGTCTCAACGAAACCCTGCAACATTATATATCATTCTGATCGTCATGACACGACGAGGAGAACTGACAACGTCCTAAGCATTCAAAATCACTTATTAACGAAATAGACCAGCATTTTCGTGCGCGACTTTCTGCGCAAGATTTAAGCGCAGCTTCTTGATTTTATTTAACACCAGCAGCTTTCCTAAACTTCTGAAACGCGATTTTGGTTAAGTAAGAGGCTAACTGAGAAATGTTGTCCTCAATTCTGGTGAAAATTCCACAGAAACCTTCTTTCAAACGTAAAAAAGGCTATGAAAACGCAAATTCTCGATTTTGCTGAGATAACGTAAAGATATTATTCCCTATATTTGTTTCATTAACATTCGTTCTGATATAGTCAGAATAATGACATCCAGGGCTTCGCCCCGGTACTCTCATAACCCTCAAAGTGAAGGTTACCAGAGTACGTGGCTCTATGTTTCGAGAGTATGATCCCAATAGCTCACTAGATGCTGGACTGAGGCATCCTACGTTCAACGTAGCCCGCCCCCAGTCGAGTTGCACTGGAGGGGGGTTACTAAGGGCCACCTACCTTTAATACTCTCTCCATTTCGTGAAAAGTAGAATTTGGCACGAAGAAAATGATGATTCGATCCCGCGAGAACTTAGGAACAACAGGACCTCCCAAAGGCAATACCTTTTGTTGACGATGATGTGATCAATGATACTCTCCACTGGACGATTCAGATCCTGAAATGCGATTGAAGGAATTTCTTCAAATATACGTGTTTAACGTTATATTACAGAAGATAGCTTGTTGGGTTCAAAATCTCCCGCAAGGGACCGTCGGAGTTTATCCGTTAGGATGCGTTTATACTGATCCCGAAGTTCGGGTTCCAAAACAGCGTTCGAACTCAGCGCTGTGCTGGAGTTCCGAACTTTTCTATTAGTATCAACGCAGCCTTAGAAGAGACTCCGAGCTTGCCTCTCCCACACCTACCCGCGAAATAGGTACGCAATCATTTGGTGGAGGCAGTGAGTCTCCCGTGAGTTCCCCCCCCCCTTTCTCTACCTCCGCCTTAACAGTGCAAGCGCGCGGTCGCTTTTAATTCCGCTTGCATTGACATCGCCGGGGAGAGGAATGCAGCTACAAGAAAGCTTTATATCCTGAAGCTCCAGATATCTGGGTTTCACGCTAACTATACGCAAGTATCGCTACTATTTTTGACCAAAAATACATTGAACAGAAAGTTGCACAAGCTTCATTCCGAGCTTTTTGTATGGTCCCCTGATGATTCCCGGCAGCCAAGCGTCATTTCTTCAAAGTCGTTTTTCCTTCTTTGAAGTCAATGAGAAAATGTCTAAGTTCCACTAATTCCGGACAGCGCTGAGCATGTTTGTTAACAACGAAAGTTGCACTGAAGTTATGAAATTTGCGATGAACCAAAAACTCATCTTTCTTATCAGCAACATTGCTTAGTAAGAAATGCGCGGAATTTGCCGCAGCTATAGACAAGCTGTATATCATCGTGCTTGCCTTGAATTGGTGATTTCAAATATATGTTTATTCTGCGCGACTATCTGAACGGAGTTATGAGCGTTCAAGTATGAGAGATTATTCGAGTTCTCACGAATATAGTCCGTTCGAAGGGAACCTGATGTCGCGGAACAGTGGATATAGGTGTTTTAATGCAAGGAAGAAGCACATTCATCGAAACCCTGAGCAAGTGTTTCTGAAACATATTTTGTGGGACATGAGTCACAAAACACTTGACAAATCGCACATTTAAACGCCCATAATTTCGTCCAAATATTCGCTTGACAGATAATAAACAGTTGTTTGAAATCAGCGCTTCAAGGCGAGTCCGATGATATACAGCTTGTTTAGTATGGCTGGGTTAACTTTTGATCAATTGCTTAGCATTATCGCGTTAGATAACAGGATGACTTTGGAATGTTTTCGTTGACATCGAGGAAAGAACAATGAAGGGAAAACGATCGGCCGCCGAGGATCATCAAGAATCACAAAATAATTGGAAGTGCATGAGGCGAGGAAGGTGAGACCCTTCTGCCTTGCGCTGAGACGTCCCCAGGTTGATTTCCAAACCATTGGAGGAGATAAGATTGTGCGACCTATCCTTTCTTCTCAAAGGCTTATGTCTGCCTTCCTTCCCAATTACTTCAAGGGATTGCACTGGTTAGTGCTCTACTCAGGCGGCCCACAATCAAATTTGAAGGCCTATTTGCTGCAACATACTCGTTCCTGATGTATAATGACAACGAATCTATGGAGCACGTACCTATAAGTGTGCGTCTGAAACATTCCTAGCACGGAGCAAAACAAAAGAAAGTCTTCGTGGGACGCTTGCGCAAGTTTTCCTTTTTTATTCACATCGGTTTTGGTCCAATAAAACATTCGTTTTTCCGGTGTATAACGGGATTGTTTTGGGGCTTAACTCTAATGAAGTCGTCATTGATTGGCTTCCCTTTGAAGTAAGAGTGGACTAGGTTGAAACTTTCGCCTTGGGCTTCAAGGGATGTTTGCAAGCTGAATCCCATTCATATATGTCGACGATCGTCCTAATTGTGGAATCAAGAGTTGTCTAGTAAGCCCGTAAGATATTTCAACTACTATTATAAGAGTAGATCTGAGCTTGCATTCGCTTTGAACGAAGGCCTCAGTCCTACGTCGAACGAATCCTTCGAATCGTTATTACGCGATCTGGCATCTTGCTGAGTGTTCGCAAATCCACCGCGTATACAAATCGAGGGCAAGGCACATAGCTCTCAAAGGTCATGCAATCCACCATGGGAACGATATTCAGGGCCCGGCATGAGGTTGTCAAAAGGGGTTTTCGAAAACGAAATCCCCTTTGACCCAAAATTTTTTTACGAATTCCCCTTTGACCCAAAAATTGATCCCAGTGATTCTGCAGTGAATACTTTAACCAAAAAAACAAGTTTTATTGACGAAAAAACAAAAAGAATTCATTACAAAAAAAACAAAAATTGAGATCATTACAAATGATGCCCCAATTGAACAACGTGCCCCATTCATGGTGGCTAGTGGCCGTCGTTGACTTCCTGTGCATGTGATTAGTCGCGACAATAACGCAGCTTTTTGGGGATCGACGCTGCCTCTAAAAATCGATCATGGCGCATCTGGTGCTAGAGTTCACGTCAAGAAAAGAAGTTAAAAAAACACTTGCCCGTTATTTTTGGTTTTGGTGATATCTTCAGCATCTTCAGCTGTATGCTCAGAACTACAAGTCGATGGTAAAGAACACAGAGAGCGGCCCACTAGTCAGCTGCGAACAAGGATAATAAGCGCCATCACTGAATCACACTACAGGCTTCAAGAATACTTACAGGAATTCTGGTGTATGGCAATAAGCCTCGTTTCTATGGTATCTTGCGGATCACTGCCTGTGGAATCCAGCGACTTCAAACTTTCTGTAGACGAGTACTTTACATTCGGTACACGACTAGCATTCAGTCTGACTGGGACCGCACCACGATGCTGGATAGGAGCATTAAATGACGCATCCATGGATCCACTACAAAATACGAACCGAAAGTATAGGCTGCTGAAAAAAGATTCAATACAAAAAACTTACTTTGTCACCGCTTTCGCTACATCTTTGCCACTCCTTCTATAATCCTGAATGATATCACAGCTACCGACAGAGGACTTATCATCCAAATCTGCGCAATCTGTTAGTCGAAAGTCATCTTCGAAGTAAAGTAGGGTCGCCTGCAACAGGTGATTCTTAATTGATGTATATCAGTTAGGGACCGCAGGGTACTTTCAGCAGCAAAGTAATCACTAAGTACACACCTAGACTATCTCGATATGAACTTCTCCCCCCCTCCCCCTCCTTCCGTTTCTAAACACATCAAAACGAGAAATGCTAGGTACTTAACTTCCCACCTTGTAAATTAATGTCTCTATTGAATGTTCTATCCTTTCGTGAGGTATTCTATTGAAATAGTCAAGGGTACTTTGCGCAATACTCGTTCCTCTTTCAATGGAAACTCTCTCGATAGGTTGGCCATCCTCTACTGGTACGATAATTCGTGTCTGCAACTCATAATCACGTGAAACATGCACGAAATAATACACGAGGAATAAAAAAACTGAGTAGTTATCTACCCTGATGCAAGGTAACTGCGTGAACTCCACACTGTCGTCGACAATCTTTGGGAAGTTCTCTTGAATGAATGTATCAACTTTACCCATTAGATAAACATTATCGTTGAAATTGGCTTAACGTCGAATACCTGCAAAGAGTATGCAAAGAACTTCTCGACAAGGCTTCAAAGCTGGCTTACCAATGCAGTTTTTGAGGTTGTTGAGGTTGTCGGCAAGAAAATTCGCGCAAGTTTCTACAACAGGTGTCATTTGGAGAGCAAAAGCAGTTTTGTACAGTTCAGCGACTTTTTTCGAGCTGATTTCGAGACTGAAATTTAGTTCAAAATAGCTTGGACAATGAAACAAGTGTGCAAAATCGTGACGAAATATACTAGGATTCGAAGCATTCGTAGTCAGTTTAAGCAAAATCAAAATAAGCCATAGGTTTTTTCGCTGAAGGTGCAACGGTCAGCGTAGTGGTGAACTGGCCAGGGTCATGAACGTTCTCACTTGACCCACCAGTAGAACCTAAGTAAAGCTTCATCAGTACCATATTCAACTACCCATATTTGTATTTAGCAGGGGAGAGACCACATGATTATATTTTGAGAGTGAAGTAGAATAAAAGTCAAAAAAGCACAAAAGCAGATGTGGAAAGGGTTGCCCAAGAAAATCAACATGTGAGTTAGAAATGAAAACCTACCTCCATTCTCGTCTTCGTTTTCTGTTGAGAACATATAAAATAGAGCGGGAGAACTGCAGCAAGCACTACCTTATGAGCGAATATCTCTTGCTCCCTGAAATATCGCTGGTCAAACTCGAAGCTCAAACATCACTGAGTGTTCTTCCAACAAACCTCACAAAAAGTACAATATCGCAGAGTTCTCTGTTACATCGGAAAGTGTTTAAACGATTGAGGAGCTCATTCTGAAGAAAAAGAAGAAGTCAAACCATAGAAACACGAACGACACCAAAGTACCAACGGTTCAGCAAACAACCATAACAACAGCCGTCATCATGAACTCAAAAAAAAATGGGAAAAAACCAACCTTTATGAACGAATCGCAAAAAACAAGTTGATAATCTTCTCGTTCATCCAACGAGTCATGGCCTCATTTGTCTGTATCATCAGCACGCATGGACAGCACAACGTACCCGCTTAGGCACTAATGTTATTTGGTCAACCTAAAAGAAAAAAAGAAGTGAGATTGAAACCTACATATAAGCAGAAAAAGGGTGAACGAAAGTCTAATTCTTGATAACGAAATCCCTACAGAAGGTTAAAAAAAACAGTAAATCACAAAGTTTACCTCGTCGTCCGCGTAAAGGGGTGTCATCATGAGGTAGTTTGCAAGAACCGCTGTGATACAGCAATATCCGACTATATCACCAAACTGATTCACCCACTTGGATGAAGTTGAAGCGTAAAAAGCAGCAATAGGACGAAATAACGAAATAACGACGAGATGACGAAATATAGACGCCGACGCGAAAGGACTCAGCGATACACCGTTCGATTGGAGCACGCTTTTCTCCTTAAGAAACGGGGCTGTTGAGGCTATTTTTGCCTCTAGCAATGGGGAGAGGAGGAGGTTTGGGACCAAATTTTCAGTATATACTAAAGTTTAGGCGTAGAGTAGATTTATGTAAAAATTTTGGAAAAATTATGTGAATTGAGAGTTTTGCCAAGCTCAGCTTGTCATTAGCTTGTCAAATGACAAGCTAATTTGGAAACAAGTTAAGGAAACTCTTCATTCACATAAGTTTTTCATAATTTTTCATACTTTGTTACTTAGTCCTACTGCGCATATACACACCGAATCCCGCGCGATTTCGTTGCCTCTGCGTTGCAAACGAGCCATTTTTCCATTTCTTTGATAGCGGGAAATTTTCAGAAAAAAGTTTGCCACGACCTTCAGTCACATAATTTTTCAATGAAACTCCTCAGTTAAGCCCTTCAAGCCCGTGTGCATGTACTTACCAAATTTCATACCATATCGTCATCTGCGCGTTCCAAACGAGCCGTTTGAATTCACATCTTCATTTACCAATTTTGCAGAATTTTTGGAAAAAATGCTTATTACTCGTTCCGTTCACATAAGTTTTTCATAATTTTCCACAGTTTGTTTTCACTAGCCTCTCTCCGTTCGCATACAAATTTTGGTGCCATATCGTTACACATACATTGAGAACTAGTCATGTATGCTGTTACAAATAGCATCGCTTGAGCGACGTCGCGCGTGCGGCAATTAGCGACGACGCGGTTTGACGCGCGCGAACTCCAGTGTTCGCCTGTTGAGGCACATAACATATTAAGATAAGCAGCGAGCATGAACTACCAATTTTTTTCCGGGGCTCAGCCCCGGACCCCTCAAAAACGATTTCCCCTTTGCATTTTTTGCCGAAAACGATTTCCAGCTTGTCATTTGACAACCTCGTGCCGGGCCCTGACGATATTGCTTTGCACCTGCAACTCACACGACTACCATGCCGATTTCGAGGCTACAAAACATTTTGAGTACCAGGTCATCGCTCCACAGGAGACGAAGTCTAGAAGGTTCTACTGCAAAGTAGTTGCACGCCCATTGTTGGTGATACAGTATCATTATACGCTTCTGTTGTGCAAGGGCGGAGTTCAGCGATTTAATCGCCACAAGCCAAGTGTTACGAGTTCATTGCATGCCGATCTTCTTGCATTTCGGTTGTGATAGTTTTCCAACACGACTAATCGTGAGTAACTATCACACCGAAATACAAGAAGATCGGCATGCAATGAACTCGTAACATTCGTGTCTTGTAGGGATAGAATTGCGACGATCAATTCTGCCCGAGGCCTAAGAATTATCGCGAGACAGACCGCTTTTCCTCAATTCCCATATAATATTTGCTCTGCCCTTTTCCAAGGGTGTGGATCCGCTTTGCTCTCACTCTTCTCTAAATCACTGTGCTCACATGCCCTTGCGCGCAATCAACACAGCTGACGCACAAAAGCTCAAAATGTTGGTGTAAGGACCTGTCAGTACCCTACAATCTCGCTTTTCAGAGCCACTTCACTCCGCATATGTCGAGCGTTGCAGTGCCCAGGCCTCAAGGTGAAGAAGTTGTCGCTTTTGCTGTTATCACGCTGGTAAGGATTTCAGTGTAGATTAGAAGAAATGCACATGGTCAAATTAGCATTTTTTTCCTAATTTCATCATTTTTCCTCATATACGGATTGAAGGCTGATACTATTCTGGCTAGAAATTACCAGAACTCAGAGCGTAGCATTTTAGGAAGGAGAGGTTCGGAACAAAAAGTGAAAGATTTTGTTTGTTGAAGTGATATCAACCAGCTGCTTCATGGCTGGGGTGAAAAGGCAGGAATGAACCCGAAGAACTTGTGCATATTTCTCACACAGATTGACCTGCTACGTGCAGTGGTAGACTCAAATTTTAGAACCGACGAATGTGGAATTTTTGCAGTTTCTCCTATATCGTTATGTGAGGATGTGAGGCGCTCTCTTGATAGCCTTTTTTGTGCATCTCTTCTCGATGCACTTAAAACAAAACGAGATGATGACGGTCCTCATTTTGCGCATCGTCTCTATATTAAGTTTTCCCGAAAGTTGTGTCGGTTTCCAAACCGCTGTAAAACCACGCACAAAAAGACCTGAACGAGTTACAACATGCATCCGATGCAGCTTTTCCTACTCTTTCTTATGGTTACATCTCCGAGCCACAATCCTGCATGTTTTTCTTGATAATTGCCAAAATTCTTCATCAATTCCACTTGTTCGAAGTTCGGCTAATTTTCAAAAATAACCTTCCATAGTTTGCAAGGATTAAGTATGGCACAAATAAAACAGATTTCAGACTGAACGTTAATATTAGGTTGGAAACTAAATTTTGCAACTGGTCTCATAACTTCCCTCTCACTCAACATGGCGCACTCACATTTTGCCACTGCGTTGGTCATTACGTATGCTACAAGTGCAGCTGCTGTCCTACCAAACGTCGCGGTGAGGGTTATGGTAGGTGCATGGTATGAAGGGGAAAAATTCAAAGTTTAACGGTTGACTGAAACTTGGCTAGGGGTGTTATCCGACATGCTGATCACGAAAACTATAGTGAATGCGTGATAGGGGCTTTTTTGTAGGATTACTGTAGGTGCACGATATGGGGCCTCACCCTAAACAAGGGAAAAGGCGTTGATTCAACAAATGAATGTGATATTCGCTTTGGCAGGTCAAATAACCTTACTTTGTAAAGTCTCGGCGGAATTTGGGCTTCGGACTCTTTAGTCATCGACGGTCGTCCCCAGCAGCTCTTGCGTACATCGACTCGTTCGACTTCATGAGGACGCCAAATCTCGACATGCCACTGAATTTTGTTTCTTTCTTACTTGGCCAAAGGAGTCAACCTCCAGCAATGATTTATAGACGAATACGGATTACTGCGCATGGTCTAGGCCGCCAAAGGCTTCATTTTAGCTTACCCCAAAAATTCTCAAAAATTTACACAATTTGTGCTCGCTTGTAGCTCACATTGCCTTCTACATAATGCCAAAGTTTGATTGCGCTATATCCAAAGAGAGTGAAGTTATGAAACCAGTTGCAAAACTTAGTTTCCAGCCTAATACTTTTAGATTCTCCTATCTACTGTTTTTAGCCTCAAAAAATTATGTCTTCGGAGGTCTTGATTTTTGGCAAAGTCATGAAACACACGACTACTCCAAAACACAAAAGCTTTTAACATTTCTGCGAACTGATACTTGAATGGCAATGAGCGATCACGCAACGTACAAGTTTGGTTTGCTTTGGAAGATCAGCTTTTTGGAATTTTCGGTAACTTTACGTGGTGGACGTAATCAAAAAGCCGCGGGTTTTCTTAAATAAATAATTATACAGACAAGGTATACATGGCCCATGTAATTTGAAATGGGCCATGTCTACAATGTAGCCAAAGGTTAGTTCTACATAACAGTTGCCAGCGCTTTTTGAAAACAACAAAATAAAAATTTTTGAAATTCAGGAACTATTCGGCGTTACTGGAGCTGTTCAAAAAGCCATGGCGATAACTTTACAAGCACGGGTAGATCAGAGAGCAAATATAGCCGTAATAAAGAGAATGAAAATCTGAATCAAATGATGCGTAGGTCCATGGATGGGTGTTCAGTGGGTGTTAGTAAGCGATGAAAGAAAGCGACAAAACTTTCGGGACAGCCTAATAGGTATACCACTCGAAAAATATAAAGCGCATAGCTGGTTGCTCCCAGTAGGGATAGGTTGCTCCTGAGTTGTCGATACCATAATTGTGTTAGTTCGTATCATGCTTTTGACTAGAATTGAAAAGTGTTTGTGCTATATATTGAACTGATACGGTTACACAAAACGCACAGCGGAGCATGTAAGTGAGACAGTCATAACTAATACAACATAGCCATTATAGACAAGCATTCTTGGACTGATCTTAAGTTGTGCTGCAATCATTGCTCTGCTGTATAATCCTATACTGAAAAACTCATTTGGTATACTCTGCTTTTGTCATGTTGCGGCCAATATAATGGTGCTTCTGATTTTTCTCTTTTGGGTGGCACCAGCCACTCTAAGGTGTGCATTGTTTTGTCTCCATACTGTTTTGTGGGGAATTATCTTTTTAGCGGAAGCATTTCGGTCCGTGGGCCATTAGGCAAGGCACTGGGTCAACTTAGCGACATGCTATGGTACGTATTTACCTATTCGCATTTTGCTATATCGATCAATCGCGTGATTACGCTATTGCTACCAATGAGAGCTGCCAACATTATCACCGTAAGAAACACCTTGATCATGGTTGCTGCTGTCTGGCTTATTGCATTTTGTCATGTCGTTGCTTATTTTTCGAGTGAGTCATTTAGCAACGATAATCAAATTTTGTAACCAATAGGCTCGTTACGGTGCTCACTACTCGCGAGTCTTAATAGTTTCTATATCTTCAAGACTCACTTGCGGGAGATGTTGTTGAAAATGGTTTATAGGTTTATTTCGACATGGACATTATCAGTCATGAATAACTTTGTTCGACTGAATACGAACCACGTTATAGGCGGACACGTG